TCCGTGTCGCCCCACTGGGTCTTTCACCCTCCGTCGGCCCCTTCGATCGACGAGGAACGCGTTCACGGGGAGAGAGAGAGAGAGAGAGAGAGAGAGAGAGAGAAAGACAGAGTAAGCGCGCGCGCGCGGACACCAACTTTTGCTTTTCAACCGGGACACACTTTTCCGTCGCTTCTCCTGGGTTTATCTCCCACATTTCGACGCCGAGGACGATGAGATGCGCTGGTGCGCACGCAAGCGCGGATGATGAAGAGCATGGTGACGTGGTGAGCACCAGGACGAGGACAATGTCCTATCACACCAGTAACTCTTTAAAGGCGTACTGCTGTGACAGGACAATATCCCCGGCCGATGGGCTGATCCGCCGCAGTGTTGTCTTCTATAATCCCTCTCGCAGGCGAAGAACACGGCTCGCTATCAGCTCGCGCGCCTCCCTCTCGTTTCTTCTCCCTGCTGGCCACCCTCGCTGCTCCACCGCGGCAACGACGGCCGTCGAGCGGATCGTCGGCGGCGAACGAGATATGGCGGTCGGCGAAAAATACCCCTTTGCGAAAGCCGTATCATTCGGTCGAGCGTCCCGACGGCACTGCGTCGCTCGGTGGCGGCGGCGCCTCCGCACCCTCTCTCCACCCCCACTAGGACTGGGCTCTTCTACCTACCTTCGAGCCTCCCCCACCGTGGGAGACTCACCCTCTTCGTCTTCGGCATGATCCTCGTCGCGCGTGTGTGCGTACGCATGCGCCCGCTGTGGCTCTCTGGCGGGGTGTGCTTGCGCTCATGTGTACGTGCACGTATACAGCACATATGCGCGGTGGTGGTGAGCCGAGAGGGAGGAACACGAGGGGAACAGGGTGCGGAAGAGAATAGCGCCGAGAGGGGACCGAGTACAACCCCTCGACGTTGCTGGGGGCGGACGCGGAGACTGCTAGGTACTGGGATGTCTAGCGATACTGAAAATACTGAAACTACACACGTTCTCGCCGGTCACCACCCCTCTATCTATCTCTTCTGTGTGCGTTACCCCCTGCCCTCCCTCTCTGCCCCTCCATTCTCTCTTTTGTCTCCCCCTCTCTCCTCTCTCCTCTCTCTCTCTCTCTCTCGTGCTTCCTCCCCCTCTCTGTCTCGCTCTGTCTGTTTCTCTGTCTTTTTACGTTCGTTGTAATATGTGTAAGATGATTGAGGTCATCGGTAGGAGATATTTTATCTCGTTGCGTGTGAGGACATTCGTGAATTCGATAATGTGCGTGCGAGCGAGTCCAGGTCGCGCTCGGTCACGTGCATCACAAGGAGTCGAGAACTGCCTATTCGCCGATGAGGTATCCCGTTCCCAGTGACGATGCAGCTTGTCGATCGTCCGATTAACAATCTGCACGGCGCTGACTTAATCGCTCGTTGGAGCCGCGTCAAACGCCCTTGCTTCTCCTCTATTTAGCAATTTTCATTTAACCCGACGAAATTTCCATTTTCGCGATGTCATCCGAGTGGAAAGATTGAAGATCAAATCTGCAATGAGGGATTAACTCATTAACTGCTATGATTCACACTTGAGGATTTTTCTGCTGTGATGGATTTTCCACTCATCTTTCTGTTTTCGGTCTCTACGTCAGGAAATTCAGGAAAAACTAAGAAAATCGCAGAAAAAAGTTTGGCAGTTAATGGGTTAATGTACGTGGCGCGCGACCAAATAACGAAGGGACGAAGGATCCCAAAGGGACCGGACTGTAACTTTGCGAGGCCGCGGTAAGATGCGGACTAACGTTGAAAATTGAGAGGGATCTGGAAGGATCAATACAGCCGGGCTCGTCGATGAAACCGATACGGTAAATCCCGCCGAATCGACGACGGGACGACGACGAGCTCCCCTTTGGAGTCTTATTTGCACCCGGCAAAAGACCTCTCCTGTGACTCGGCATGAGTGAGCGAGCGAATTCGCGGCTAATATATGCTCCGTCGATCAATCAACGACAAAGAGAAAGAGAGAGAAAGAGGAAGAATTCAAAAATACCGCCAGGGTGAAACCCGATCGCGGAAGAGCCGCGCTCGAAATACCTCGCGGGGCGCGATTGCAGGGAAAATATCCAAGTGTATCTTCGACCTACCCTCGTCCTCGTAACCGGCGGAGGAGTAGTCTGGGAGAACTCGCCGATAGTGACAGTAATGAGCGCGCTGCTCGCGTCGAGAAAAGGGCTGAGGGAGGAACGAGCGGGACAGAGAAAAACAGCTTAACAATCACGACCCCCGCTGAAGAAACGGAATGATTGCGGCGAAGACCGCGATGTGCGTGACGGAAGGCGGGCAAACGAAGATGAAGATGAAGATGAAGAGCGAGAGCCAGCGTCGTCGTCGCCGTCTCTACGTAAGACGTTTCCCTCGCGAGGCCGATCGCGCGCGCGGCTACGAGAGTGGGGTAAGAGATCGCTCGCGAGGGGTGGCCGAGCGGCGGACGGCGGCGAGCAGAGTCACGCGGCAGGGAGGAACGCGGGGAGGGAGGGGGTGTATTGATCCACCAGCTGCGCGTTTCTCGCCCGCCGCGTCCCCACCGCCGCCGTCGTCGTCGTCGTCGTCATCGTCGTCGTCGTCGTCGTCGACGGCGGCGGCGGCGGCGGCGTCGCCGCACCTCGCGCCGCTCCATCCCTCGTCTCCGCCGTCAGCCCCTCGCCGCGCCACTCCCAACCGCCAAACGACTCGCTCGTTTCGCTTCGACCCTCCTGACTCTCCTCGCTTCTCTCTCCGGGACCTTCCGCGCGCGCGCCACCACTCGCCTCATTCCCGCTCCGCTCCGTTCCAAGCCTGCGTTTGCCACCCTCCGTTGCTCCGCACCCACCCCCGCGGCGCCCTTCGCCGCGCATGTCGACCATGCCGCTCGCGGCGATATATCCGAACCGGGCTAACGTGCAAAGCCTCCTGCTATCCCCCGACCGCCCCCGTTTACGACGCACCCCGCCGCCGCCGTCGCCACTACTCTGCCTGCTACCCCCGCGTGCGCGGCAGCGTACGGTACCGCCGTGTGTGTGGTGGTAGTGATGGTGGTGGCGGTAGTGGTGAATGTACGGCGCGTTACGCGCGAATCCTCGGGGAAAAGGCACACCGGCAACGTATATCTCCAGTTAGATATACACGGACGGAACAACCATAGTTTCTCTTAGTTCCGTTCGTATCTCCCGAGTCACATGCGCCTGACGGGGGAGGACGAGACCAGCGGTATTGGTTGGCCTGTGATATGAGATCTCGGACAGATATTTCCGCGAGCGCGGAATGCGGGAATTTCCGCGAACGCGGAATGCGGGAATGCCCGCGTGGGCTGCCTCTCCGCCGTCCTTAGCGCGCGACGCGAGGAATAACGCGAATCGGATGCGTATTCGGCGCGCGTTCATCAGCGTAATCAAACGAGAAACAGTGGGCGGAAGGGAGGGAGAGAGGCGGGGAGGAGGAGAAAAGCGCGCGGGCGCGTCGCCGGTTTTGCGCTCGATCGAAAATTCAATTACTGCGAGGCGTGCGGTGTTCAGGCACCGTGGAACAAATAATTTACAAATTACAACAAGAGAAGCTTTCTATCTCTCTCTTTCCCCCTTCCCCCCCTCTCTCTCTCTCTCTCTCTCTCTCTCTCATACTCTCCAAGTGAGACGTATAACGAGTTTTTAAACACGATACCGCCGGCCGATCGGGCGAAACGCAGTCATAACATGAATTATTTAGCGGCGCCAAATATAACGAACGTAGGCAAGGCAACGATAACGCGATACGCGATAAATCGATATAATTGTAAAAATAATTAATGGAGGTTAAGGACGATAAAAATACCGGCGCTACCCTCGCTAGAAAAAAAAAAAGCAAAGACAACATACGCGTATCATTCACTCAAAATATACAACAGAGACATACGTACTGCGTTCAACTAAGTGTTGAACTTGTTTTGAATATTTTATAAACTTATGAATCTGCAAATTTATCATGAGAGTTTATCGTAAGTGTCAGATTTAATCAAAATGCATTCTGTATTCTAGCATGTCTACGTTTCGATCAAGAGTATTAAATCAAAACAAATAAATAAGAACTGACTTTGAGATTGAAAGTAAACAAAAATTTTTGAAAAGCCTATACGTTAGCTTAAAACACGCTTCAATTACTTTTGGTAAATAATCACAAATATAGATCAGAAAGATATTAACAAAGAGTTTTTGTTTGTATATAACAAAAGTTTTTGTTAATATCTTTCTAATTTATATTTACCATTTCTATCATACACATATACACAAAAGTAAAGTAAATAAAATGTATTTTATCCAATGCACAGGTTTTATAGACTTTTTATCATCACTTTTTTTTTAATTGAAACATTTGGTCTGTTTGCTACATAGAGTCGAACTAGCTTTCTCTTCGATAAAGTTTCGTAATATTCTTTCTTCTTTTAATATGTTGTAGGCGATAAGCATCCAATCTTTTAATTTGAACGACCCCACCGTTTCGCGCCCGTCATTTATGTTTCGTCGCTCGACGTGACTCTGACGCGACCTGTAGGATACGACGGAGAACTGTCTCGAAGGGACGAGAGAGGTAAAAAGAAGCGCGTGGACAGTCAGTCAGTCGTCGCATGTTGGCCAGAGGGAGGATACGCAGAATAAAAGAATTGAAACTGATCAGTATCAAGTGTCTGTCTAAGAGAAAACCCGACTCATCTTGGTCTACGTGGAGGAAGAAGGAGGGAGAAGTAGGCTTTCTCCTACAATGCTAATGAGCTTTTTCAAAATTTGTGATGAGCATATTTGAAGACTATCATGAAGGAAGTATTCTTTCTTAAAGATAACCATTATTTAAAAATACGAAAATAAACGGAGTAATCGCTTTTTCCTCAGCAGCGCGGAATTATATTTTTCTATGTGTGATTGCGCTTGGTGAATTGTTCTAACCAAGAGCTTTCGCAACACGCTCGCGTGCGAAGTGGAATCTCCTTAATCTACGATTTTCGCGAGTCTCTAAGCGAGCATCTGGCAGCGACTCACCTTCAACGAACGTGGTTTTCTCAGGTCGAAGAATCGCGGCACGGATGGAATCTCGAACCTCTGATAATCGGTCAGCCTGAAAGACGACGATATTTCGTTTCTCGACTACTGTTAAGCTAGCTAGCCCTCCCCTCCCCCCCTCCAATCTCACCGGTGGAAAATTCACCTAGAAAAATAGGAATATTATATACGGCCTCCAAAGGAGCTTCTTCTAAAACCAAGAGGAAAACGCCCAAAAGAAGAATTTCCAGTTGCAAATTCCTATTTTCTGCAACCCCATATTTTAAGTAAACACTTTCATCGAAAGTGTATTCCTCTTCTAATAAAATTATTATTAATCTAGGAGAAGTGATTAGAAGTTTCAAGGTACATTTCTTATTTTAAACTGTCTCTTGTTACAAAACTGACACTTGTAGAGCTCGTTATTTTTGCAAAGATTGGACAAGATTCTAGACTACAAGAATATATAGTTATATCGGAAAAATAAAATATATCCTGCTCTCTCTCTTTCTCTCTCTCATAAAATAAAATAACGAAAATCATAGTTATTGACACTTTTATCACAGTGATTAGCACTTATTAGAGTGTTATGTATTATCATTAGAGTGTATGTTAAATAAAGAAATATGTCACAATTCAGAGTTAGTGACCGAAACTCAATATTTAAAACTTCCTAGGACACTCTGATAAACAATTTATTAGATTAATGCACTATCCACACGCTTCAGTACATTGGCGGCCTCTGATTGCAATCTAAAGAGTTAATCAACATTGCAACTTTACCGATTGTTCTTCAATAAATTTTCATCTTTATTATCAACAACTGCATGTTTGATGATAGTAGTCTATTTTATATTTAAATGTACCGATATGTTAATCACTGCCAATTACTCTGTACACAGGATTGCATATATACCTAGCCATTCCCTAGCCATATATATATATATATGTTTTATATATATATATATATATATACATATATATATATATATACATATGTATGTATGTATGTATGTATGTAACCTAATCGAAAGTTACTAAAAATTGTCGACCTAATGCATTCGTTTCTAAATAGTCAAGGATCGTGACTGTTGATTATTCGAAAAAACTGCAACAATGTTAAGCAGCTGTGACACTTGGACAGCTAATAATAGATTAATATAATGTTTTGTTTATAGTTGCGGTTATTCATTCACATATTACGCGTAATCATGCCATTATTAATAGTAACACAATCATAAAACATGGATAACGATAAAAACACAATGTTCGCTATCTTATATTCCTGAAAAGGTACAATTTAAAGGCAAGTAATATTCTGCAATATTCTTCGCACTCAAGAGACGACATAATCTGCGCGCGCGTTTGAGAAATATAATAAATATATTTCTACGTGTAATAATAATAATAATTAACAGTCACGACCTTTGATTATCTAGAAACGAGTTGTTAGGTTGAAAATTTTTAGTAACTCAATTAAGATATGACTGAGGAATGGCTAGGAATATAAATTCTCTGTATCTCAATTTGCCCACTAAATATTATTCCAACTCTTTCGAAATCAAGAGGAATGTGTTCACTCAAAACAGAATGCTCTTATCGGAAGAAACTTCCATCAAGAACAAGCACTATGAATGAAAGACGAAATTCCTCTTGCTTTAAGAATATTGCGCACAGAGTATTTATTCTTCCGGTTTCAGAGGAATCTTCTCGAGGCTGTACATCAGAGGATCTCCACGAAAGATTATATTTTTCGGGCTGCTTAATTCTGTAATTAATAAAACTTCGAGTTTCGCTGGTAGGGCGGCCAAGATTAATAGAAGTTATTGTTTCTCGTCGAACAACTCATCTCACTCTCTGACGGGGCGTCTCATACGAGGATCCGTCGCGGTTCGAGCGGGAAACGTTGCTCCTTCTCATTATGCTCCCCCGTAATCGGCCGCCCGTTTATCGCCACGATAAAATCGGCCACGCGGGGACGGGGTCGAGTCCGTAACACGGCATAAGTAAAAGTTCCTCGTAAGCGAACGTAAAACGCGCAGTGCCAAGGCCGTGCCTGCTTGAGCAGACACAGTGACCTTAACACATCGCGTTATACATAGAATGCATGTTGCCCGCAGAAATAGACCGGCCGCGCTATTTTCCGTGCGAAGTTTCAGGGCGTGCGCTGACGCGCGGCCGTTTTGCGAAATGACGTATTATTTTTACACCTCGTCGTCGCGAGAGAGAGAGAGGGAGAGAGGGTGGGAGGGGCAGGACTTACTGTGCACAATTTTTTTATTTTTCACTCTCGCGTCTGTCTGAGGACGCGATGTGAGAAGTCGCAGTTACTTACTGCACGTCGATCGTGGTGACGAATAGTCGATGGCAGGCTATGAACGGTATGGCGATCATCATGCAAGCGTGCAGGACGGCAAGTGGTATCAGCTGAAACGGAAAAAAGAAATATATGAAACATCGCACTTAATAAAAAGCCAACGATATTCGCGCTGTTTATCGCCGCTTATACACACACGCTCCCTTCCGTGGAATAGTTGCACGGAGATAAGTAAAAAATTATTGCAACTGTCGTAGTGCTGCTGGCGCGCACGTACGCTTAGCGTGAATGAACCGTTATTGTTAACAAAGCGAGTGCTGCGATCGATCGTAAATCCGACCGTATCGCAGACTGCTAAATTATGTAAATATACGCGGAAAAAGGAATTTAACCGGCGAATCATGCACGTTAATCAGAACTTGCGACTGTTCTACTTGAGGCAGTTGCAAGTTCCGGTTGAGGAGACGCCATATTTGAACTTTACAGAGAGATATAGCATTGACTTTCTTTCGCAAAGTTCACGTCCTAGTGGCTGCACAGAATTACAAATGCTCTTGCACAATGAAAGTACATCGGAAAAATGAGTCGGAGCATTGTTCAATGTATGACGAGAACGGTAAAAAATTTTTAAATCGACATCTAGAGCTGTCGGTTGCGGTAAATAGTTACTTCATACAAGAGTTCTGTAGCTTGTGCTTGTACCACACGTATGTTTGCTCCACTGAGGAAAACTTCAAGGAACATTTCTGTATCTTCACAACTGCATGTGGAAGCTCACAGGTATAGGAAAAGTTTGCAGAAAGATATTCTACATATGCGTGGTTATATGCTTTCTGTTAGAATGATAAAACAAAGCGGCACATATTTATGTAAGGTCTGTATGTACAGGAAACGCGAAAAGTGTTTCCACCACCGCGGTTGTGATGAATTTTCATTCAATATTTCGGACATCTCGCTGAGAGATATACACCACGATGTTGGCGGAATAAGGGTCTTATGTCGTATCAGAGGGATTTCGAGAAGACAGAAAGAAAAACAGAGACTTGAAAGTGTCGGAGAGTCATGTGTCTTATGGACGGCTTTGAAACATGTATCTTCATTTGGCGCGACTGCTTCCTACGAGTCGCACACGCGAGAGGATGTAAAATATATTTCAGACGAAAACAATGTTGGGAGGATATAATTAATAAAAGCACATCAAGATATACGCAAATATATACATACAGAAAATTTTATAGTAAAAATTACTATAGAATGTAAACGAAAAATAGATCGATATTATGCTGTAATTTATCATCGTTTCATTTCACATTTATTTATTTTTTTTATTTATTTATTTATTTTTTTAGGAGCTGAGAGAAAAAGTATCTAATAAGAATTATTTATACTCGGTGGAGGTGCTCTATAATAACATATTTATTTAAATTTTATAGTATAAAATATTTTTCAAATAACAAATTTATATTTTCAATTAAACCTTAGCTTTCCGTGAAAGTAATTGTTTATTCTATTTAAATAAAAGAATTTCAATTCAAAAAAGTAAATATGTTATTGGTATCGCACAATTGGCATATTGCCACGCGCACAATCATGCAGTAATTTTCTTTAATTAATAACCAAAGATCCACGTGGTAATTTGCTAAATGGTAAAGAACTTTTTTGTTTAGTTTGACCTAAAGTACAAGCACATGACGGTAAATGGACAACTCATCTACCATATTATGTGTGTAATCATTTGCCAATCCTCTTTAATTGATAACTCAAGACTATATATGGTTCTTTGCGAAACGGTAGAGGAGTTTTGTGCTCCATTTGATACATTTTATCAAACTAGAACACCACATAACGCGCGCGCCACTTTAGCCTTTTCGTTGTACTATTTACAATTATATCACAATACTCGTTTTTACAAATTATATTCCCAGCAAACACAATGTTACATGTAACGTACATGTTAGTTGTAATTTCCTATTCAACAGTGTAACTGTTATATAACACGTATATTATATAAGTTATATTGTTTGTTGAGTAAGAAATTATTAACATGTATGTTACATGTAACATTGTGTTTGCTGAGATTACAATAAATATCAAATTCATATAATGCGAACAACACAACCCGATCCGTCACACGCATCTGACAGTTGTAAGCAGATTGAACCTAGCATATCTCGATCGAGCCAATCGAGACAGTCGGGACGGCCAATAATTAAAGAAGATTATTGCACGATTTTGCGTGATAATGCATTCATCTTCTTTAATTAATAATTAAAAATCTATGTGATTATTTGCAAAATGGTAAAGGACTTTTTTGTTCAATTTGACCTAAAATATAAGTACACTACGGCAGTCGTCGCTATTATAACTCATTTGCCATATCCTGCATGATCATTCACAAATTTTCTACAATTAATATTTCGATAATTATTGCGAGTATCGCAAAACGGCATAGGACTTTTATGTTCACCTCAACCTGTTCTAGGTCCTCACAAAATGCCCGAAAGAGAGTGTAAGACACCCTGTATGTGTGTGTGTGTGTATTAATTTAATATTTGTATAATAATATTTTCTTTTTAATATTATATTGCATATATTTTGTTATGTTTTTGTTTGTTTGTTATATCTGCGTGAAATAATATTATTATATAAAATAGCAGCATTTCTCTCTCCATGTTTTATATATCATATAAAAATATATGAATTACACATTTTCTTTTTTTCGAATTTTTATAAATAACAGATCCAATAAGGAGATACGTCATGTGGACCCTTATTCGCGCCTCGACGGCCGACTTTGTTTATCGCGCCTTTAACAATGATTGCGCTGGTTTGTTTGCAGCGCCGGCATGGAGGCAGCAAACGGCGCGATCGAGCACGACTTCCACAACACGTTGATGCCGATAAACGGTAGCCACTCGGGCAGCTCTGGCAGGAGTACGCCGAACGGCGGCGACCCGGCACCGGGGAAGCTCTTCGTGGGCGGCCTCTCTTGGCAGACCAGCAGCGAGAAATTGAAGGAGTACTTCGGCATGTTCGGCACCGTCACCGACGTCCTCATCATGAAGGATCCGGTTACGCAGGTCGGTCTACCTGGGTCTATAACTCTCGGCTTGTTCTGCCCGATCAATTACGGTTATTATTCATTATACGAGGCTGTTCGCGCGCGCGCGAGTACGCCGCTTCGTTCGCCAGCTGTCGCCGATGATCGACGATCGAGGCCACCCAGTGAATTACGCACGAGCGATCGATCTACTCCCGGTTAACACGCTTATCGGTTGCATTCGAGGGGGACACGAATATTACGTAAAGAACAGAGTCGCGTCTCTGGCTGCTTTTCTTTTCTTTTTATCACTTGAGGGGCAATCAGTGAAAGTCAGCGTCTCGAGCGCGCGGAGTTCGTTCGATATCTTTCAATGTCGCATCGCACCTGGAAACGTTGCATCGTTCGTGACGAAGCGGACTTCCCACAAATGTTCAACAGATGGAAGCCGAACGGATTTATCGTCGGGTAGTTAGGGCAGAACGCGGCCTCCGCGATAATGAAGCGCGCGTTATCCGCGGCGGGAACAGTCTCGTACATGTAAAAACGTTGCCCACGCGTTTCCAAGCCGCGTTTCGTTTCATGTCGCGCCATGTGATTCGGTGTAACGTGTACTTGTCTTTTTTTTCGGCCGACCCTGACCACACACACAGTAAATCTCCCGCGTAAATATGAATGAAGCGAATCGGGGTCGGCCGCGAGAGGAAGAAGAAGCCGCGGAAAGACAAAAAAATAAAAAAAAAAAAAAAGAAAAAAGAGAAAGAGGTTCACCTCGACAGGATTCGATGCACCAGATTCTCTCCTTCCACTTTTGCACGAAACTATATACGTAGTAGACCGTAGTAGAACAGAAGTTGTACTAATCGGTGTAATTAATTTTGCTGATAAAAGTATCAAGACAAGTAGATTGTATTAGGTATTAATCGCATTAATCGCATCAGAGAGAAGGTGGGAGAGGCGCAGTTTTTTCTTTGTCTTTTTTTCTCTTGGTCGGATGACGCGGGCGCAAAAAAGAGAGAGAGCGAGAGAGCGCCCCGCGCGGGTTGGGAATCGTAGAGTCGCGCGTGTGTACGTGGGGGGTGGGGACAGACGTAATATAATCACATATATATATATATTTATATATATATCAGTAGCTCTCCTATATATATATATATAACGTTCGTAATGGATTTGAGTCTTATTCGCAGTCTTTGTTTCACGTAACATTAGAATGTTTGTCTTTATAAACATTGGCTTGGACAGTCTTGCATGCAAATGGTAGTTTGGTAGCACTAGTTAACCGTTCATAACAAAGAGCTACGAGGATCACAGACGGCAGGGTTTTCTTCGTTGGTGGTTTTTTTTTTTTTCTTTTTTTTTCTCTCGTGAAAGATCACTTTGCGATGGGTACGATGATTTTGCGATGATAACGGAGCGTTCTCACGTATGCAAACGGCCCGCGACTGCTACGATAGGCGACGACGAGAAAAGGGATCAGTTTTCGTGATTCTCGGGTGAGTCGGGCGCGCGCGACAATCGAAAAAAAGAAAAGGAACAAAATTATCACAATATCGTAATACGTATACGCAGGCGATCTTCGTCGCGGTGTGTCGCGCGGCTCGATCGACTCTTTCGCTCGCATTCACGTGCGATGAATCGCAATCGGCTTGGCTATCCAATGTTTCCGGATACACGAGAAATTTTCGAAGCCTTCGGTGTCTTTGGTCGTGAAAACTGGTCCTGAACATCGGTCTTGTTCAACCGAGCGGAGGCGAACAATCCCGGTTGATCCCTCGATCACGTCACAAAAATATATCTCGGACGTCGGAGAGCATTGATCGCGCGAAAGAGAAACAGAGAGAGAGAGAGAGAACGAAAGAGAGAGAGCGAGAGAGATAGAAGAGCGAGAAAACGGAAAAAAGAACGGAACGATAGCAAAAGAGAGATAGAGAGAGAAAGGAAGGAAGAGAGAGAGAGAGAGAGAGATAGAGAGAGAGAGAGAGAAAGACAGAGATAGAAAAAGCGAGAGAGACATAAAAAAGAAAAATCGTACGGAAAAGGTGCGAAATGCAAGTAAGATGGTCCATGTGCATCGTGCCGGTTCTGGCATTGTTCGGTTACAGCGTAGCCGCGGTTTCGGCTTCATCACGTTCGCCGAGCCCGGCAGTGTCGACAAAGTCCTCAAGTGTCCCATCCACACCCTGGATGGCAAGAAGATCGATCCGAAGCACGCCACCCCGAAAAACCGCGCGAAACAGGCCAATCGCACCAAGAAGATCTTCGTAGGTGGTGTCAGCCAGGACACCAGCAGCGACGAGGTGAAGGCCTACTTCAATCAGTTCGGCAAAGTGGAGGAGACGGTGATGCTGATGGATCAGCAGACGAAGCGCCATCGCGGCTTCGGCTTCGTCACGTTCGAGAACGAGGACGTGGTGGACCGGGTCTGCGAGATACACTTCCACACAATCAAGAACAAGAAGGTCGAGTGCAAGAAGGCGCAGCCGAAGGAGGCGGTGCAGCCCTCGGCGCTCGCCCTCGGCAAGAGGGTAGTGCTGGGCGCGCTCGGCGTGCGGCTCGCGCCGCAGCCGCCGTTGCCGGTCGCGGCGGCCTCGCAGATCGTAGCCGCGCAGGCTCAGGCCCAGGTGCAGGCGGCCGCGGCCGCGGCGGCGGCGGCGCAGGTGCAGAACGCGGTGGCCGGCTACAGCAAGCTGTTCGCCGGCGGTTATCCGGCGCTCTCGGCGTATCGATACGCGCCGTATCCGATACCGGCGGCGGCGGTCGCCGCCGCCGCCGCCGCGGGGCCGACACCCGCACCGGCACCACCCGCCGC